AGGCGTAGTCCTCAGATGGGGAGTGGATCCTTGGAGGTCAGATGGAAAGTGTCCAGCAATTCCTCGGCGACATGGATGACATGGTGAGGCTGGTTTGCTCCACGAGCGAACAAAGCATTAAGCTTAAGATATCTACAACGTACAGAGCGATTAGTACAACGCAGCACGACTCTATGACTAAAGCTTAAAAGAATGATACATACGATTTCTCCGTTCTCATCCACCCGCACTCAAGGTACGACATGTCCGAGTGCACATATCCAGGAATAAGATGGCGGAATCCGTAGACATAGACGTCCTCCAACTCCAGCGTGTTTATCCATTCCACGGTCTCCAGAATCGCCCTAACACTCATGAAACCTCCCCTAACGGTGATATGGCGCAGCTCCGGTGCAACGTCCTGCAGAACCAGCAGTACCGTGCAGAAATGGTCGTGCATATGATTGATGTAGGCCCCGTTGCTTTCCCTCATGTCAAAGGTGATGCATTTCGTGCGGTTGGACACTACGCAAAACAGCTTCTTGCTAAAATTTCGAACTTCACAGTACAACCTGTCGCACGGAGGATGGATGCCTTCATTGGTGTAGTTATCCACATCCGAAGCTTTGAAGATGACCTCGGGTTTGGAAGCTCGAGCAGCTATTTCTTCTTCTGCGTAGAAGTTGAACGCCGATGAAACCCGCTTCAGATGATATAAGTCAATGGGGGTCATCAAGGAAACGATGTACTTCATCGTGTCCTGCTGGTAAAATGGAAGCCCGCATCCATCCGGTTCGGTGTACTGTCGCAACCAATTCCTGGTGAGTGGTGTCGACGTCCAGATATCCCTGGCGCCTTGAGCTTCAAGACTGTCCGCTGCATTACCGGCATACACCGTCTCCACGCCGTCCCTCCATGTGCACATCGCACAACCAAGGTCGCCTGGTTCTCCGGCTGAATTGGGTCGCTTCCTGGGGGACGTGGCGTACCACTTCAGTACACCCTCCAACTGGTGATCGAAGCAGTGGAGAAAGCGGTTGGAAACTCTTGGGAGTTGGAAATCCTTGAACACCTCCTTCGGCACCGGTTGACATTCGGGACACGCCTCCGTAACAATCTGCTCTTCTTCATCGCTGTCATGAAAACACTTGCAATATTTACAAGGAGAACCTTCTAGCTGAATGCTACGCTTCATTGTAGTGACTTATTAAGCAAATGACTTACAAAAACTGGAAATGAGCCGTTCGTGCGTTGCGTCGAGTGCTTTTATATACCTAGCTGTATAGCATTGCTAGCTTGTACTTGATTGGCTTGATATGGTATTGATTGTTAATTTTTTTTCAATATAATTATGCAGATATCTTGATTAAACGGACTAGAATTACTTGGCATAAACGTTGGTACATTAGTTCAAAGTTTGTTATTTTTTTTCAAACATTTTGTACGAAAACATTATTTATCCTTAAACTAATCGCTATTACTCAGAATCCAAGTCCTCTAGTGCTGACACATATTCAGCGTTCAAGTCTTCTATGAACACCACCGCCTCATACTTTGCCTCCTGGAACTTCTTCACGTCCTCGGCTTTAAACCCGTTTACGTAGCAATCCACCATTGCCTGGATGCAGGTACGTTTTGGAACTTCGTCATCGGCTAGCAGGTTTTCGCGCACACAAGTGTCGAATTCTGATTTCAGGTCAGCCGCCATGGAAGCCAACTCCCTGAACCCATTCTGAACTGGAACCTGGCACAGGCTCTTAATCATCATATCTCGAAAGCCTTTTTCATGCTTCATCACCAACTACAGAAGAAAAAAAATCAACCATACAACATAACCATAAGTCCATTCCAAACCATATAGAACTTACGTCTTCGAATTGGTTATCAGTTTTGTCAAAACGTTCAGGATACATTGTTGAGCCATCCTCGCTGGTTATGGCTCCAGCTTTACCTTCGTTGACCTTTCGTTTCTTGGTCAACGGCTCTGGCTCACGGTATTCTTCCCGGCAGAACCACTCCGGATGGGCAGTACGCTTACGGAGAACGGCCATAACAATGTCTCTCTTGCTCTGAGCTCTCTCAGTTTCCACCAGTGCTTTCGCTAACGCCTTACGCATACTGCTGAGCTCGTGCTGAATTTTAGTCACTGAATCGCTTAACGCGTCCACACAAAGAATCGCGTTTCGCTGGATGCTGGCCGCACAGTCCTCAACATCACGGGTGCTATCCAAAACTGCACGCTGCAAACAGAAACAACACCTGGTCAACGGTCAACCCCTATTCTTTTTTTCCCTTTTTTTTTCCTTTTTAAAAACTACCCCATTAAAATCCTTACCGCATTTTCGTAGAACTGATTACGTTCATCGGCACTTCCGGATGCTGCAATCACCAGAAGCTTACGCGCCGCCTCAGGGGCGCTCGTATACGGGGCAGCCGTCATTAGCTTGCGCCACTCATTGTTCAATTGCTACAAACGTAAGAAAAAAAAACAAGAATAAATTAAAATAACCTTCAAGAAAAAAACTGTAAACGGTTCCAGAATACAAATAATTTTTCACTGATATAAGAATATAAAATTTTTAGGTTTAGAATACGATTAAAAAGTTTTTTCGTTTTAAAATAAGGCTGAAAATTGTTTGCATTGAAATAAGGCTGCAAAGTTTTTCGCACTAAATTAAGTGAAAAAAGTTTTTAGACTTAAAATTAGATGAAAAAAGTTTTTCAGTGTAAAATAGGGCGGCAAAAAGGTTATCGTTTCAAAATAATGCTAAAAAGTTTTTCGCATTAAAATAGGCGTCAAAAGTTTTTCGCACTAAATTAAGTGTAAAAAGTTTTTCGACTTTAAATTAGGCGAAAAAGTTTTTCGGTGTAAAATAGGGCGGAAAAGTTTTTCGGTTAAAAATAAGTTTTTGAGCTTAAAATCTGTAAAGAAAAGTTTTTCAGTTTATATAAGGCGGAAAAAGTTAATCGCATTAAATTAAGTGAAAAAAGTTTTTAGATTTAAAATTAGATGGTGCTTTAAAATAGGGCGGAAAAAGTTTAACGTCTCAAAATAAGGCTAAAAAGTTTTTCGCATTAAAATAGGCATCAAAAGTTTTTCGCACTAAATTAAGTGTAAAAAGTTTTTCGACTTTAAATTAGGCGAAAAAGTTTTTCGGCGTAAAATAGGGCGGAAAAGTTTTTCGGTTAAAAATAAAAATCATAAAATTTTCCGCATTAAAATAAGCGTAAAAAGTTTTTTCGCATTAAATTAAGTGTAAAAAAGTTTTTCGACTTTAAATTAGGCAAAAAAGTTTTTCGGTGTACAATATGGCGGAAAAAGTTTTTCGGTTTAAAATAAGGCTAAAAAAATTTTTCGCATTAAAATAAGCGTAAAAAGTTTTCTGCATTACATTATGTGTAAAAAGTTTCTAGGCTTAAAATTGGATGAAAATAGTTTTTTCAGAATAAAATAAGTCAGCAAAACTGTTGTCGTATTTAAAATACGATAACAAAATTCTTCAGGACAAAAAGTAGGTAAATCACTACAAAATCATTTCGGGTTGCTTTACCTTGTTCAGAGACATGGTCAGCTTGCGAGTAGTACGCCTTGCACACCTACAGAACGATCACACAAATATCTCGTTACTCGTTACAGCAGCCAAACATGCGTACCAACTACTTACAACACGTACAACAGGTGGGATGAGATGGGTACACACGGAACAGGGGCGGGCAGAATTACGGGTTCTTCCAGATAACGCAAATAAATCCAGGTCGTTGTGTAGCGGTGGTTATGCTAATACGCTTTGTAAGGGAGCATGTACGGGTCGCCAAGTGCGCTATGCTGCTGTATGCAGCGGTACCACATGGCCCAGTACCAATGTGTGTGTCTGTGTGTGTAATCTACCATGCGGATCTTTATATGGCTATGGTACGGGACCGAAGTCCCTTTCCGCATGCTACGGAGCTGTCGCTTGCTGAAATGCAGCGTGGAGTTTCTTTGATTTTTATTAACACAGCAAGCACAAACCAACAATACCAACAATATGTACTAATATTGTCAGAGTGTGATCTCATGTATTAGCCATGACGGACATGGGGGGCATTATTGTTTCATCAGGTACTACAACCCGTTATTCTCTTCATTATAGTGCAGTATGGCACAGAATGAGTGCTCACACATCTAAGTTAAGCTCACTGCTAATACATATACAGTATTAGCAGCGGAACATGCCATCGGAGCACCTTGATTTCCGCTGTAATTAATATACGAAGTCATCCGTCTTACATTCTACTTGCGATGCTTTATTGGAATTTGTAGCCGTTCTAAATCGCTTGACTGTCAGCAGTGGCAATTCTTACAGGTAACGTCTCCGTATTTTTAGATATTTTTTCGCGATTTATTTCCAGTTATTAGGAATTTTTTCCGAATTTTTTTATTTATTTTTGGGCAATCGGGACGCCGTCCCTGCCAGCAGCGGTGCTGCCAGCAGGGACGATCTGTAGATTTTCCTGTATTTTCTGGCAATTTTTTACTATTCATTTGAAATTTTTACGAATTTTCTAAATTAATTTTGAAAAACGGGACGTCATCCCGGGACGCTCTTATCAGCGTCCCACATCTAAATGCCGGTCGAGACAGGCATATTACTACTGCTGTCTGTGACGTCCACTGTTCCATGTTCTGATGGTTTTAATGCTGTTTACTTTGTGTTATAATGTTTTTTGTAAGTGATGTGTAAATTACTGTCTAATAACTAAACCAATAAAATTCTTTTTTTCCGTCGACACTCACCCGCGCCGCCAACGATTAATGTGGCAGTGTACTTCTCTACTGTACATGGTCGAATGCACGCCCAGCGTTTTGGCAGATCCGTACAGTCTGTACTCTGTAGATGTTTGGACAGCGTATCGTTTCTTATTTTGCAGCTAGTCGATTGTTCACAATGCCATGAACTTCAAGGTTGATGCAATACAGGGCCGGTTTATTGTCAGCATGCAGGATAGTGTACGATTTAATGCAGTCAGGTGTTGCATCATTCTATGCCCTCAGCAGGCACAGAGTGTAGAATGATGTAACAGGTAACGCCAACGGCAACAACCTGGATGTGTCCGAAAAATATTAGAAATTCGCTATAGCCGCCATTTTACACCCCTTTTTTTAAAGACACCTTTTTACTATTAATTTAACAAACGCACCCTGCAGTTGGCTTTTATAGGCACCCAATTTTAAGTTTGTATTTTTAATAAATTTTTCATGATGAACCCCGGCCATAGCGAATTTCTAACCTTTTTCGGAAATATTCTCTCCCATTCTTTATCAAGGAGCACACAACGTCGCCGACCAGCTTATTAATAGCCGCTCCAATTACACAGCAGCACTTGCATAGCGGCATGCAATCTGATACGTGGACTTTCTTTCCCTACTCATGGTCAAATAAACGGTACATCATACAACCAGTTGTCCGAAATCACGACATCCGCATACCAGCGCCAGCTTGCTTCCGGTTCGGCGCCCATAAAAGCATATTGAAATCGAAAAGATCAGCGGTACAATCACCATCAGTATAGAAAGCGTTCGTGCATTTAGAGTAATTTTTATGGTTCTGTCTCTTTCTGCGTCGTTCCGGTTGCGTAGTTTTTCTCGTCTTTATTGTTCTCCTTCGACGCCCTCTCGTTTTATCACTAAAATCCGCATGTTGGTCATCAGGGTCAGAGTCAGAGGAATAATTGCCGACACAATCGTTGCAACAAAAAAAAAATCGTCGTAATGGCGGTCACGGTAGTAATCTTCGTGATGTTCGTTGCAGCTACCGTCAAGACCATAACACAGCGCAAACACAGTCATTCGTCGCAGCGACCTGAGAGGAGTCTTCACGAAAAGGCTGTCATTCTGCAACTGAAGGAGTGCATCTGCGGAGGCAAATCGTCCATCACCCAACTGCCAGTTCCGCATTACCTGAGCAAAAAGAGCACTCTCGATATGGGTTACTTTTAGGATTTTAGTATAATATGGAAATACCGTACCCTGAGGAGTTTGCTTTGGAGATGCAAATGGATTAGCCGCTCCTGCAAGAAATCCAGAAAGTCTATGGGCACTTCTGTACACGCCGCCTCGAGCAAGTTTAGCATCACGCGAACAGCAGACGCCTCTTTTGTATTCAAGGAGCCACTGATCAAGCCAAGAGTCGGCATCGATCGATACAGGTAATATGGAAGGAAGCAACAGAGTACTTCTACTTTCTGCAGAATCAGTTTAGCACAGGTATCCGCGAAACACGACGCGAGCTTCAGTCCTTCGTGAGAATAATCTACCAGATCATGCATATAGGCTTCGACATGGGAAACGACGAGAACCGGCACCACGATGTTGTTGGCTTTGACTATGGCAGCTGCAGTAAACGGTCTCAAGCCAAAATTCTTGTCCGATTCTTGGTGGCAGTCGCGTAACCGTTTTGTGGTTAATTTCAGTAGTTTGGTCTGAGGAGTGACTTTTTTATGTAGTAGCCAGGCCAATGTGCTTGTCCGGCTGTTCACCAAGTCGATTTCCACGTGTTCCGCCCCCCGGGACTGAACGATTGCATTCCAGTTATAACAGACACGACGACAGTTGACCTGTGCGTACACATCCAGCGACAAAAGGATGTCAGTTAAGGTGTCCAGAGATAGACTGCTCACAGATATTTCGGCGTCCCACTATAAGCGAAAGCGCGTAATTACCGCCTTTGGTTCGTACAGTTTAAAACATCTGTGTCGTAAGTCACGATGTACATGTACAATGTACATAAACAGTACCAGTACTGCAACGGCGTTAGATGACGGTGGCACTGTGCATTATTGAACGTTACCGTGTACCGTCAGTGCCTAACCGTAGGGATGCCTCAGTTTACGGTTTTTCGGCTAGAAAATTATTGTCTTAATCATAAAGGAAATCTTTAGAAAATACATAAAAACAGGAAAATAAAAATAAAAAAAATTTAAGAACTTTTTTAGAGACAGAAGAAGTCCGTATTTTAGATAATGTTATGTATGTACAGGTAGAGTGTACAGGTATGTGTGTACAGGTAACCTAATTAATACCATTTCTAATTAGTACCATTTCCATTTGTAAGCTAATTAGTACCATTTCACTGCTACTGAATGGGTATATATCTATATTTACACATAGTACGTAATATTACTGAAATACGTATTTAAGTATTTTGGTTAATTCTTCAGTATGCAAACTGAAAAGTTGTAATAAGTGTATCAGCGCAGGCTTGTTGTAAGTTATGTGAGTTGGCTGTTGCCTGAATAAAAGCTACCATGCAGTGCAGACACATACCGGTAGGCTGGACAAGCACAAGTATTCCCGTAGAATCGAAAGCTGGCGTTTCTGTAAAGAAAACGAAACAAACTTTCAATTATGATCTCAGAATTCATTGACGATGATAATTATTCATGATTGATAATGTGATTGATTTCTGTCAAATTTCTGAAATATTCTGTTCCTACTTCATGGATGTGGTGCCAACTCGACAGTTACTGTACGTAATTCAAGCGCTGTTTTCGCATGCTCATAGTAATGGACCGGGACGTATACACTTTTTAGAGGGGTGTTAATGTGTGCCCACCCATATGGAAAGCGCTATAGGCGGTGGGTGTTAAGTACCACTGTTAATTTACGACATCCACTGAACATACTCGCAATATGTACAATGATGTACCTTGTACACTAAGGCCTTTGATTTTACAATGCATTTCAATCGAGCTATTTTGTTATTACCTTTATTATTGTTATTCATTTATTTTACATGTATTTCAAACAGGACATTATACTAGATACATACATACGTCACATATTAATGATTCCTTCATGCATTACAGCAGTACATTATACCGTAAAACCCGATATTAACCCCCTGGGCTTTTATTTTTTCGAGAGCTTCGGGAGGGGGCGCTTAAAACCGCTGGGGGCGTTTATTACGGCGGGCGTCTAATATTTCAAATGAATAACGCGCTCATGTTACTTCAGCTTTAACGAGATTAATATGTATGAACATTACAGAAATAATTCAGTAAAAAAGACATCTGTTAGAAAATCATGGTTTTACGGGTCATGGTGTGCAATAAGTGGAATTTAACTAAATTAGCAAAATGTACCATTCAGACTGTACCGACAACAGACTACAAAAGCGCGGCGCCGCAACTTAATAAGCGCCCCGGGGCGATAATTTCGGGGGGGGGGGCTTTTATTACTTCGTGGCCTATGGGAGGGGGCGTTTAAAACCGCACGGGGCGTTAATTTCGGGGGGGGGGCGTTAATATCGGGTTTTACGGTAATTATGTACTAGAGTGGAGTTAACATAATTATTATGTACATAGTGATAATGTAATGGGATGAGAATAGTAACGTACACATTCAGAGGGGCTTATCCAGTGATCCACAGGGGAAAGATAGAGAAGTCTCATCCTGTCGACTTTTAAGAAAATCGTGCCGGTCTGTCGACACCATCTGGTTTTGAAGGTATTCTGTTTCGTGACATCATGTAGTTCTTTACTGTCCGGTAGTCTGACACTGTGCTTGACGTACTGGTGTTTCAGTGCATAGGTACTAGGCGACCCGAAGCAGTAGTACAAAACACACTCTGAAGGCAGTATCTCTCGTACGGTTCGCTGACCAAGGTCAATCTGCACGACAGCAAAACTATCTGACTTCAGAAGAATTTTATAAGGATACCATCGCCACGGGTGATCCGCGCTGATTTGATATAACAGGCATCTCGCATCGTTGCTGCAGTAGGGGATGTAGTATGTTGGTGGCCCGGATCCCCATGCCCGGGAATCCGCATGCCCGGGAACAATACTATATTGGCTTGTGGAAATGTTTTCCGCGTGATGTCCTCTGTAGTCGAAATCAATGGTGTACTGAAGTTTGTTGTCGGTATCGATAATCATTCCACGTCGAACAATATTCGATTGCCTATCCACGACATCCACAGCTCCATATCCCCACAAATCCCTAGTAAACATTTTCTGTATTCACACTCCCTAATCGGGCTTAATCCGAGCGCAAAACTATTTTGTAATAAAAGTTTCTGGAAAATGGCAATGTCAACATCGCGGTGATTACGTTGATCTTACGAAGTTTCTATCATAAAGTACTCCGGGAGAAACTACCCGTAGTTTTTACTCCCGCGAGAAAAAGCCTTCAGCCGTTAGCAGCAGTCCCTACTGACAGCTGGTCTTTATATGTACATTCATGGCTGACTGCAATCTCGTTACTGCATTATTCGTGTTGCATCTTCTGTTTGCCATAAAAAGATTCTTATCGTTCTTCATTGCGCGCGTCAGTCTTAGTCAGATAAATGACATTGATTTGACATGAATACTTGTTAGCCGCTTCAGTTTTGCTGATCTACAGATACGCATCTCTACCGCGATTTTTTCTTCGGAAACTCAGTCCATGATTTCATTGCTGTGACAAAGTTTCGGTGTATCATGGAGTCACAAAATATCTTATCAGATGCAGATGGGTTTGGCTTTGATCCTCGTCATGCTTACGTACGTAGATAGCTCGACGTGGACATGTGTCATTGATGTGATCATCGACGTGAACGGTAGCTGGCATTTCGTCAAATGTTGAGCTTTTGAATTTTGTATTGGTAGTTGGCACGCATTTTAGTACACCGGCTTGATCGAGACCGCTGCAAAGCTGTGAAATGGACATTTACGGCACCGTAAAGCCGTTCGCTTAATTAGTGTAGCACAAAATCTGTGAGAAACCTGTTCTTATGTAAAAAACTGCGAATGTTACTGATATGGGTTTAAATCGCTGTTGCCAGTTTTAATTTTTGTACGAGAAGTTGAGAACAGAAAAGGAATTATAGTACGAGTATATAACAGTACGAGTACAAGTATTGCGAAATGGGGCCACTTTTTCATTTGATGTTGTTTCTAGCAAGCATTTTGGTGACGCTGTCAACAGGACGTTGGCTGAATAAAGTCGTCGATATAATTGACCGTTATAGTGATGTGCACTGCGCAGTTTTCTCAGCGAATTGAAAAATGGAAAGATCATAGTTACGGTCTACTGTACGTAGATAGGCTCACATGCACTCATTCACTCATACGCAAAGAAACAGTTCTAAATGAAAACTTAATTCGAAATCTTTTGCTTTTAATGGCCCTTTAGGGGGAAAAAAGTTCAAAAAACATACCTATGCATCCAGGCGTTACTGGTGCCATTACCGGACGACCAAAAATCCACCGATAATCTTGCACTTTGTGCATGCCACCCGAAAGATCATGTAGCCGGCCACTGTTTGGTGTAAACATTACATTACTGTATACTAAGTAGTGTGATCGATGTTGTTGTTCTGCGTCTCTTGGATAGCTATTGCCGAATAAAATGTGGACAAATACTCGACAGTTATTGAGCAGTCGATGATATCTTTATTGATCTGCTGACGTGCACGCTCACACTAATTTTATAATACGGGGTATTTTTACCATTGCCGGTTGCAGTACGCCTGTCAGCGACAAGCGTTTAACCGACAGGAAACAAACATCTAACTTTTATTGTGCATGACAAATTTTCACAACAAAAACATTTCTTACCTTTTATGTAAGAAAATGTGTCTTTTTCTCTAGAAAGTTTTCCTCACTTTTGAGTTTTGACCATACAAAAATCCTTCCGAAAGCCTTCTTACTTCTGACATGAACTTCTCGAACCGCATCAAAATTCAACTTGCTTACTAACCACAAATTCAAGTTTTCCAAGTGGTAATTCTGACCATATACTCCCTATTCGGCATATACTCCAAATTCGAGCAAACGCATGCATTTTATGCAAGATAATTCCGGAAATCATCGAGCCAACGCTGCACATTATGTAAAAAATCAGGAGAAGTTATACGATTGCCAGCTGTTGGCAGCACCATATTCAACGAACAACTCCAGAATCACTGTAAAGTTTTCGGAAAAACTCGAGAATTGCCTCAACCGGCAAATTTTTATACTTAAAACCACATAAACTCTGGTGTATAAAATGCCTTTCAGAAACCTACACAAACTCACACTAAAAAATCGAACTCCAAATTGTTCCATTTTACTTGCTAAGTTTGCGTTGATAACAGTGTTAATCATGCAGCGCTCTTATTTTTGCCTTTTCGCTTTGGCCGCAGTGTTTCTGCTGTTTGTGGTAAGTTCAGAATCTAGAAAGGTTTTATGCAAGAAAGCTCATCCATTTTTTAAATGTTAGCACCTATAATTAAAAAGTCGCATTTCACAGTAAAATGCTATTTGACGAGTTATACTGCATAGAACGTACATACTGCTGTCATTTTCATGTAACATAATTTTAATTACTGTTCAGCTTTCAATTGTTATTGAACTGCAAGAATATAGGTTATTTGCCGCAGACCATACTGGGAAATCGTTTGCGTTAACTTTAAAAAATTTGCGGCATGGTGCCAATACCGATGTAAAGGCAGTCCCGTACAGTACTTATTCTTGTTTATGCAACTGCAAGCACATGGTGTTTTATAGGCGTATCCGGTCAGTGCCAACCGCGGAGGAATCAACCCATGGAACCGCGTGGCGGCGGAGGAGCACATGCCAAGACAGGCATGAAGTGCCCTTGTAAAAACTACCATAAGGATGTTACATAACCGGATTACTCATGTAGTAATGTAACCTATGGTCATATATGTTTTTCCCTATGGTCATGTACCTATGGTCATGTGTGCGTTTATTCTATGGTCATAGTCCATGTTTTTGCCTTTCTCATGCCCTTGTGAGCCAGATGTACTGACAATGAGTGATTGTCTGATATTAGGTCGTTTCCCTGGATGTCCTGTTATTTCCGGCTTAGGCCGTTATATAAGCTCATGTTTACTTGTTATTTGTTAGTTCTTAGCTGAGTATTATTAAAGTGGCTAAAACCCGATATTCATTACGCCTTACGGATAGTGTAAGCGTATCATTTGGTGCCGAAACCGTGGAGAACACGGGACCTTTAGATGGTGCCGAAAGCAGTTTGAATACCGTGACCTTTAGTACGGTGGTTTCGTGGGCGTAGTCTTATGTCAGTAAAGGGGGAGACTGACCCCCTGGGCAACCTATTTTCGGACGACGAGGATAAACCGATTGTGGACGAATTGCCGCCTGTGGAGACTACGATGGCGAAGCTGGACGTATCAGGTGGACGGCAGGCTCCGGCATTCTCTGTGAATGCCCGGGAGTTGGCGGACGTGATGGGATCGCTTGCGGTAGCGACGGACGTGCGACCGCCGGTGTTCACCGGGAAAGCCGGTGAGAATGTTGCGCAGTGGGTTCGTAGGTTCCGGACGGTGGCGCAGGCGTTGGAGTGGGACGATGCGAAGCAGCTGACGCAAGTCCCCGTGTACTTGACTGGCCATGCGGGTCAGTGGTACAACACTGTGTCGGAGGACGGGACAAAGCCCTACACGACGTGGAAGGCCTTCAGGGACGCCCTCCTGGCACGCTTCCAGACTGAAGATTGGAAGTTGCAACTGAAGCTGAAGATTTCTCAGCGTAAGTTACAGAAGAACGAATCCGTTGAAGATTATTACAATGACATGGTTGACCTATGTTATGAATACGATTTCAAAATGGATGACCTGGACGTCCTCCTGAAGCTGCGGAACGGACTTTACCCGGAGATCGACAAGATGTTAGTCACCTCCGCAGCCAAGACGCCTCAAGGATTCTTCGCGGACCTGCAGAAGGCGGCGCAGTCCTTACGGAGGGAGGAGCAAGCCAACCAACGACAGCAGGCGGCGGATCAGCGTGCCAACAACCATTTCCGTCGAAGTGGCGGTAAGCCAGAATTTCATTCTAAGTTAACCGCTGCTGATTCCAACCACAGCGACGCATCGAGACCGGCACGAACCGGAAACGCATTGACCGCACCACGTAAAAATAAGTCCTGCTGGAACTGCGGATCAACGGAACATTTGCTTCGGGATTGTCCGAAGCGGGCTAAAGATGCCAAGGGAGCTGCGCCGAGGGCGGGACTCCGGATGATGCGCGGAAGCGCATTGGACCGTACAGGCAGGGACGACCCGACATGGGAGGCGGCAGCCACGCTGGCCGCTATGTCCGGGGCGGATGCCGGCTGTGCGGCGTATGGGGCAACGTCGTGTGGGTATGTGTACCGTATGCTAGACGGATACCCGGTTGCGTTGTCAGCAGGTACGTGTCCTGGTTGTATTGAATGCACGCCATTCCGAAGCCGACCTTTGGACACTACTGCGGCGCATGAGCTGCGCGTGTATCAGGCCGAGGTGGAGGACGAAGTGCAGTCAACCGACGAGTCCGATACGATCAGCATTTATGCCGACTCGGTGTGTGAAACGCGTAATCGGCGTGGATCAGCTGACAGCACCGCTTCAGTGAATGGAGATGCACGGCATGCAAGCACGCAAACGGACGCCGGCTTACACACGGTCAGTACAGTTAGCGTCGGTGTGCAAGCTAATAATTTATTGCAAGTCAAAGTGGAAGATGAAGACGAATTGATCGGTGTGGGTGTCAAGTTTCATTGCGATAAAGAGTTGCGACCGCTTCGCGACGGTGACTTTTTACCGTATAAGTATGAGATCGGCAAGGACTCCTTCGGCTTGTGGGAAAAGATTCCACGAAAGCGTCCTCTCTACACAATGATGCGTACGCCTGGAGATGGGGGCGAAGGCCGTCACGCTGTGCTCGGAACGCACATGTGTGTTGATGTGACCTTGAACGGACAGGCTGCACGTGCCTTGGTGGACACTGGTGCCAACCTCTCCGTTGTAAACCGGGGTTTCCTGGAGAGGAAGCTGGATGTCATGCCGGATCCACTGATGATGCCTGTGGAACTGGGTGACGGGAGTACGATCCGTACAACGGGTAAGATCGTACTCGATGTTGCGGTAGCAAACCAGAAGCTGCCGGTGGCTTTTTGTGTTTTTGACAATGTCAGCAACGAGGGATACGAGTGCGTACTGGGATGCAACTTCCTGCGCCAACCCGGATGGCTGGTGGATGTGTGCAATGCGGCGCTCTTGTACGTGGGACAGGATGGTACCACGGTCACGCATGGGGGATGTGGTGACACGGTGGTGACGGATACCTGCGGCCACACCCGGGATGCGGTCATGATGCCGGCGGCGGCCCTGTGCGCCCGGATGACCGCGGATCAGGGATCCATGCTGACGACGCCACGAGTGAATCAGCTTATGAAGTATGGCGATCCGGATGTACCGGAGGATGAGCTGGCGATGTGGGAGTACGATTGGCCACGCCGTCCCGTTTCGGATTTTGACATTGGAGACGCTGATACGACCGACGGGGTGAGTCGGATAACTAAGTTGATTGAGAAGTACGGTGACCTTTTTCATACTGAGGGCCGTAAGATGGGTCAGGCTAAGGTAGAGCCGTTCCGTATTGACCTGATGCCGGGTACGAAGCCGAAGTTTCGGAATCAGTACCGGTATGCACCGCCGGAAGTCGAGGAGATTAACCGGCAAATTAGCGCTATGATTGACAAGGGGGGTGATTAGACCGTCCCGCAGTGACTGTTCTAGTCCGATTGTCTTGGCGCGGAAGGATCATGGGCGTAGCTGGCGCCTGTGCAATGACGTCAGGGGTGTTAACAGTATAACGATTTCTGATAAGTACCCCTCTGCCGCGTGTGGACGATTGTTTGCAGGCGTTGTCTGGCAAACGGTATATCTCCACGTTGGACTTGGTATCCGGTTACTGGCAGATGCCATTAGCGGAGGAGTCGAAGCCGTTGACAGCCTTCCAGTCGCCAATGGGGTTCTACGAGTACGAGGTACTGTGCTTTGGGCTCAAGAACGCTCCATCGTACTTCCAGCGTACCATGACAACAATCGTGGGGGACCTCATCGTGCGGGGCGTCGTGGCGGTCTACCTGGATGATGTGATCATCGCGACGTTTACGTTGGAGGAGCATGAAGAAGTATTGGAGGCGCTGTTTTCTCGATGTCGGGAGATCGAGTTAATGTTCAAACCGGAGAAGTGTCACTTTCTAAAAGCGACAGTCAACGTACTGGGATTTACGGTGACGCGGGAAGGCGTGGTGGCCGACCCTGAAAAGGTACGTGCCATTACCGATTTCCCGGTTCCCGCAAATCTTAAAGCCGTGCGTGCGTTTCTCGGTTTAACCGGTTATTACCGGCGTTTCATCAAAGACTATGCGGCGCTGGCCTGTCCGCTGTACGAGCTGACGAAGAAGGACGTGCCGTTCGTCTGGGAGCAGCTGCAGGAAGGGGCATTCGAGGCGTTGAAGAACCGTCTCGTCTCGTCGCCGGTGCTTGGACACTTTGACGTATCGCGACCGGTGGAGATCCACCCGGACGCCAGTGGATACGCCATCGGAGTGGTCATTCTGCAGCAGGATGCGGACGGTGTCTTGCGTGTGCTGGCTTATGGGAGCCGCCGCTTGAACGCCGCGGAGCGGAACTACAGCACCACGGAGCGGGAGTGTTTGGGAATCGTCTGGACCGCAGATAAGTTTCGTTACTATCTGTTAGGTCGGGTTGTGACGGTCATCACTGACCACCATAGTTTGTGTTGGTTGGTGAACATTCAGTCTCCCAGTGGTCGCTTGGTCCGTTGGGCACTTCGACTCCAAGAGTTCGACCTGGTGATTCGACACAAGAGCGGAGCGAAGCATGCCGATGGAGACTGTCTGTCTCGGTACCCACCAGCTACGGAAACCGGTGTGCTGGCAGTGATGGCGGTACGTGAGGAGACGGGCCCCACCACGCAAGCAATGTTGGAGGCACAGTCCAATGACCCTTGGATTCAGGAGGTGATGGAGCAGATGGACTCGGTCAAGAGCGTTCAGAAAGTTTACGCCGTGAAGGACGGGTTGCTCTATCGCGAGTGGAAGAGTCAAGGTGAAAAACATTACTGCTAGCCGTTCCGAAAACGTTACGTTTTGAGGTACTGGCGTTCTGCCACGATGACCCGATGGGAGGACATCTCGGTTTTGCCCGGACCTGGGACCGAGTGCGGAAGCGGTTCTTCTGGCCTCAAGCGATCAACTTTACGGAGCAGTATGTGGCGTCTTGTGCACCGTGCCAGGCGCGGAACCGGTTAACGACGAAGGCGGCCGGACCGATCCAGTCGTTCTGTCCAGAGCGGCCGTTCGAGATGTTAGCCATGGATTTTCTGGGGCCGTTGCCCAGATCCAAGCGTGGAAACCAATATATATTGGTCGTGACTGACCTTTTCACTAAATATGTATTGGCAGGCGCATTTCCGGTGCAGAGTGCGATGACAGTGGCGAAATTCTTGGTTTTTGAAGTGTTTCTGCAGCATTCGTTTCCCTTGAGGATCTTGAGCGATCAGGGGACACCGTTTGTCAATCAGCTGACAAGCGACCTTTACAAGGTACTGGAAGTGAAGCGCGTTACGACGAGCGGATATATGCCACAAACCAACGGCTCGTGCGAAAGGTACAATCAGACGCTGGCGCATATGATGTCGAAGTTCATAGACGCTGAGCAGCGCACCTGGGACGAGGTGCTGCCGTTCGTGGTGTTCGCGACTAACACCAGTAAGCACGACACGACGAAAGAATCGCCGTTCAAGCTGCTGTACGGAAGGGAGCCGACGCTGCCGGTCGACATCGCCTTTCCAACGGTGGCGGATGCGTTCGTGTATGATGTCGGAGAGCGGATGGAGGCGCTTCATGCAAAGGCGAATGCGCGCATTGAGGGGAAGCAGAACTACCTCCACGCCCACGACGATCACCCGGAAGTGACGTACAAAGACGGGGATTACGTTTTGGTGTTCAACCCTGCCGGAAAGCGCGGTAAGGCGACCAAGTTACTGAGTCGTTTTTATGGGCCCTACCGAGTGCTTAGGCAAACGTCGCCCGTGAATTACGAAGTGGAAACTTGCGGGATCCGGAAGCGAAGGAACGTTTTCGTTACCCACGTGTCAAAGATGAAGTTGTTCAAGGATCGCAACGAGATGTTCGTTGACTCCGAGGATGAGGACGGCGAAGGATGGATTCCTGTCGCGCGTCCCAAGCAACTGGTGGACCACGAGGAAGTCACGGACACGGTGGCGGAAGAGGAGCCGTCTACCACCCTGGCGGGCGCCCCTGAAATTACGGTCCCTGTGGTGCCAGCGGTACAGGTCCCTGTGGTGACTGAGGTAGTGACAACGGCGGAGGCGGAGATGCTCGCGCCGGTGACTCGGGAAAACTCGGAAACGGAACAGCGGCGTTCGGGCCGTGAGCGCAGGGCACCGGACCGGTATGACCCATGCTCATACAAGCACTTTTACGGCTTGCTGCTGTTGGTGTTGTTGTTTATGCCCTTAGTCGCAGCACTGGAGGTGGCTGTCTGCGACTGCTCTTCACCACGACATGTCGGTGTCGTCAGTTTTGAGCGCTACGAGCAATGCCGGACCAACATGTCGTCCGTCAAGTTCACCCCGGTCAAGTATGACATCTATACAGAAGATAAAGCCCGGACCGTGTTCCAAGGCTTCAGCTGTCGGGCCTGGGACGAGACCTTGCACATCGAGGAAGGATTTCTTGGCTGGAGGGACACGACGAAGTCCTCCAAGGAGAAGCCGTTAGCAGCGGGGGATTGTTGGGTTATGGCTAACACGTTCAAATGCGGTGTGAATTCAATGGTGAAGCGTGGTAGTGTCTGGTCTTTTACAGCAGAGCCGAAGGGCGAAGGAGCCTGGTACTCTACGAAAACGTACACTACATACAACTGTGAGCTCGAGGAGTTGACCTTGGAGCAGGAGTGCAAAACGTGCCCAATTATGAGTATCGTCGGTGAGGTAGCGACGGATCGCACCGTAGGCTACGCGATTCTGGCACACCGGACCGTGGTATGGAACGACATTTCGCAAACGCAGAGACCGTGCGAGACGGCTCGGCTGACCAGGCGAGTCGGTCAATTGTATAACGATACCAACGGTGTGATGCGAATCCGCGATACTGCGCGGCAAATGGATTTTGTTCTAGGCGCAATGGCGCGCTTGTGCGGACAGACCGGAACAAAGGCATTCCGTGTGGTCGGAGAAACGAGTATGCTGCTGGTGGTGCTGACGCGTGCGGAGAAGATCCTGTTCCAGGATTTCAACTACACCGCCGGAGGCAGTGTCGCGGGAGGGGAGGAAAAGATTCGGCATTTAGAGGCAAAAGGAACTTGCTGGGGTTCGCGGGTGGGACACATCCCGGATTTCCGTCGGGATCATCGCGCACCGTAATGCCGTTGCCCGTGACAGTGGCTACAACAACTGTCGGAAGAAAGACGCCGGAGGCGGAAGGCGCAACCACTGAACCCCCGATGACGCTACAACAGTATCTACCGGAGCATCTGCAATGGATTATGGACTCGGTTGTGGAACAAGAAAACCACATCGCGGAGGCGGTTAACGCCGTCGATTGTCGGTTAAGTAGACTTAAAATCGAAAATCTGCATTCACTATCGAAAGTGAGCGGGATTTTGGCTGCGCGTGCTATGCACTTTACAGAGTGTCAAAGCCTGGAGAGATTCGGGAGCATGGGCATTTTACGACAGTGCCGACCGTTCAACCTGACGTTCGAAGCGCAGAACACTGTCTACTGCGGCGTACAACCTCGTTCGGGAAACTTTACGATTTCTCGCGACGGATTCACGGCGATTAAGTGGCAAGAATGCTACTGGCAATCGCATACGGTGAACTTCCGTGGGATTCCTCACGTCTGGAGAGACGGAGATTGGCGACCAGTGCAGCCGGTGCAGTATGCTGACCGACAGCTGTTACTCGCGCCTTTCCAGGAGACTGTTGACCTTTCTGGGGCTTTGCTGGAAGCAGCCGCCGAGAAGGAGCATGCAATGACGTTCCAATTGCTTGGCCAGTTGGCCGGTGCGATGGAGCATAACGGAGTGGAGAACGTGGAATCGTTCGTTCAGAACGTACAGCAGTCAGCAAGTGTACCTGACCTAATGTCTAAGATACGTTGGTTCAAAACGATGTTCGGGTCGATCACTACGGTCGTAGTGCTAGTGCTGATTGTGCTGGTCATCTTTCAGTGTCGTGGACCGATAGCTGGATGCGGGAAGCGGATTTCGAATCGCTTGGCCGAACGGAGACATCGTCGCCCGACTGTGGTAGCGGAACCGGTGACCTACGTCAGCGCTCCTGAGGATCCCGGCTATGAAGCGATTAACCCACCGGACAAGGAGGAGGGACGGATTTTCATTCCGCTGCACCGTACGAATAACCGGACTTAACGTCTTGAGGGACCTGCGACGTCTGGGAAGGGGGCAATGTTACATAACCGGATTACTCATGTAGTAATGTAACCTATGGTCATATATGTTTTTCCCTATGGTCATGTACCTATGGTCATGTGTGCGTTTATTCTATGGTCATAGTCCATGTTTTTGCCTTTCTCATGCCCTTGTGAGCCAGATGTACTGACAATGAGTGATTGTCTGATATTAGGTCGTTTCCCTGGATGTCCTGTTATTTCCGGCTTAGGCCGTTATATAAGCTCATGTTTACTTGTTATTTGTTAGTTCTTAGCTGAGTATTATTAAAGTGGCTAAAACCCGATATTCATTACGCCTTACGGATAGTGTAAGCGTATCAAGGACAAGTCATCAGTGTGGTATCAACACTGGGGTAACACGTTGTGCGGTGCCGACGGATTCTACCTACCAAATACCGGCTTCGACTCGTGTTAAGAGGCTGCGATCTTTCGCTGTCTTTCCCTCCTTCCTGGCCACGGAACTTTTAACGTCGCTTTATTTTGAAAAAATGATTGCTGCAGTTCATTGTTCACAGCATTGATCTGACGATTAATCGTTATTTTTACGCTGTTTTGAACTTATTTGCCGCACATGCCTTTAAACAGTTTTTTACTACTTTCTCGTCCTTTGAAATCCGTACATGTGACCTTTGCATATTGGTTCATCACTTGCTGCTTACCAAGTCGTCTTCTGAATTGCGCCTCGGATAAATTGCTTAAAAACAATAACCGTACAACTTTGCCTTCAAATCGGACGTGTCCGTCACTATTTATGTTTAATGTTTCGTAAAGTAGTGGCAAATTTAGAAATGCTACTGAAGGGCAGCGTAAGCTGTTTTCTACCACCTATATTCCGAATATAATTTAACGGGGCTTGCGTAAATGAAGTGATAATTTAGTCAAAAAAAGGAGACCAAGGCACACAGTAGACAAAAAGGACATGAACGAAACATAAGTGATCATGACAAGCCAGAAAGAATTACCAGCGTACCAAGTAGGAAAGCTTGTGTTGTCCAGCATAAACGTTTTCCTTCCCTTTCTGATTTTCATACTCTATCGTGCTTTCTGGATTTATTTTGTCACTCTGGTTTTCGTACTGCCGTAAGACCACAGCCACGCTCTTACAGTATGACATCACAACCTAACGGTGCCGGCATAAGTTTACTGAAGGTCCTGCAGACAGCACCAAAGTTCAATCAAACTATCGCAAATCTGCACAGCTTCTGCAGCTGTTTTGCAGTTCTGGAAAACGCACGAAAAAGTTGTAGAGCAGCAATAACAACACCAAGACATTATATGTTCATAGAAATGTCCTTGCAGGCTGTCTCCAGCCTATCCTTCGTCTCGCAGGCTTTCGGCCCGCTCGTCGTGTACGGATACGTTTGCCGCGCAGAAATACAAAGGCTCTTCAAAAGATGCGGTGATCTCAGGATACCAGTCCACTAGCACTGCTTTGAGAATCAGCTAGTTAAAGACACGGGCGAAACGAAAAACCCAGTGTGCGTTGCCGGTTAGGTTATACGGAAGACACCTTTTTAGGTTTATTAGGTTTCTTAGGTTTCTTAGGTTTTCTTCGATTATTTTTGTTGTCATTGGTATTCTTAGGTTATCCTTAGATGATTCATGATAATATGGAGACTTCTTTTTATTTTTTATGTTTCTTGGTGTCTTACGGTTAGCTTTCAGTACTTTTCCTGTAGGCGTCGTGACTTCGGGTCATCAAAGGGAGACATGATAGTGACCGTAACACTGGAAGAATTGCTCACTCAAATTGTGCGTGCAAAATGGTATGAACGCGGCCATTTGCTATCACTTTTTTGATTAAACGGTTTTAAGTTTCCGACAAACTTATATCGAAAGTATCGTTTTCTTGTAAATCAAACCAAACTGAGCGTCGGCCGAAAGGTACTGTGGCCGAAGTGATCGGCGGCCGAAATGAATGACGGCCGAAGTGAATCACTGCCGAAGTGAATGGCGGCCGAAAAACTTTGGCCGAAATGAGCGCGGCCGAAATGAAAACGGCCGAAGTGATCGGTAGCCACTTTAGAGATCGATATCCTGAAAAAATCGAAGTTTATTACATGACTGCGCTCAGTTGCTCGTTGGTATATTTTTCTGTAACTTCCTGGTTTTATGTACTTTAAGTTTTGACGCTACTTGATTTATTTTTTCTACTCCTTTAGCAAAACAGAGAATAGAACATACCGGTAAAAGAAAATCTCTGAATGCGCCTATAGCTTTGCTAACAGTGCAGTCTTCGCAGGCTGGAAAAACATGGCTCCAGAAATGGGATTTTGTCGTAGTTTGTACAGATCGTACCTTCTCGAATTTTTACATACAACCGTAGTAGTACGTTTATCCAGGACATATTCAGTACTACGAGTTACGTAATTCCCATTGTACTTACATAAGCCGCGTTTCCCCTTACCAGTTTGTCATCGCACTGATAATATGGTGTACTTTTCCTTCGGGACCGTCGCGGTGCCCCAGCCCGAGCAGATCGTCCAGGTCGCGGAAGCCCTGGTCGCTCTCAAGCGCCCCTTCATCTGGGCACTTCGCCCCTTTCTCCAGGAACACCTTCCGGCACAGTACAAGGTCTCCACCGCCGACAACTTCGACCCAAGCGCTCCGTACCTGATTGTGCCGTGGGCGCCGCAGAAGCGCGTCCTGCAGCACCCTTCCGCGGGGGTCTTCGTCAGCCACTGCGGCTGGAATAGCACGCTGGAGGCGGTGTCCTACGGGGTGCCCGTGGTGGGATGGCCGATGTTTGCCGACCAACATCTAAACGCCATTATGCTGGAGCAGGCGGGGGCGGCGGTGATGCTGAAGGGCACCGCGGTGATTGGACGCGTTGTGCCCAAGGAGGAAATCGTGGATGTCGTGGAGACGGTGGGCGGATGGAAGGGCAGTGATGGGATTAATCAGTTCCGCGATACGATGCAGCAGTTGGCGCAGAAAGTGAGGGGGACTACAGCGCCGGACGGCCAGTCGACCATGAATTTTTTGTCTGTTGTCAATCAAATTTAACTGCGCCCTGAATCCGCAGCCGGAAACAAGACAATCGACCAAATAGGATAACTGTTTATCTTGTCTTAACTAACTGGTACTATTATCGATAACTTTATTATTATGCTTTTCGCGAGTGCCGGAGGCTGCGTGTCACGTGGGTCGCGTTCAGTAGTCCTACGTTTTGTTAATGTATTTAAAGAATAGTACAACATTAATACTCCTGCACTTCCGGAGCTCAACGTGGTTTGCTGTTATCCGGCCTACGAAGCCGAATAGGCGAATACACCTGTATTGGTGTTTTTGGTATGGCTGCTTAGACATCTATATCCGCCTCGTAATGAGCTGCACGCTTTAAATAGTTTCGAGTTACTGAAAGGCATGCAAATAATTATTATTTATGCATAAAGCATAATCAATATAAAGTAATAGCTGAGACTTGATATGTGGTATGACACAAACACATAATATAACGTTTAAAATCAACGCGGCATGGCGCTGATCGTTTTAACTGGGCGCCGGCAAACAAGTACATATAAATTGTACCTTCCTTACTTCCGGTTCACAAGGCTCAAGTAACGTAAACGTGACAGAGATACACCGCATTATTGCATCACAGTCATCTGAATGCAGTTTATGCATGGCGGCAAATTCATTCAGACCACGTCACAGCAATGAAATCATACAAGCAAGATTTCCCAAAGATGTTGCGATAAATCTAGCGGCTGCAGTTACTATGAATGTACATCACAGCTTGTATCTAACTTTACGTGATATGTAGCGATCAGCATCTGTTAGATGTCAAACGACAGATCCGACAGCGATCGTGTTTCAAAGGTCAGCTAGCTGGTTATTTTTATAAGGATCGCCAACTTGTAAGCGCCTGTTGGATTAATAATAAACAATCCTGTCAGTTACTTAATCGTTCAGTTTGTTATTTTGTTAAATCATTAACACTTTCGCCTTGATCAAGCCCACACCAGCGTCGCATTACGATGTTCTATGAAGGTGTTTGGAGATACGGCACCGTTGATGTGTTGGACAGCGCTGGGTTGATTCGCCATGGACTGATCATCGACGCCGTCAAGGAGTACCACTTCACCGTTGACTTTGGCTACATTAGTCACTACGCCGAGCGCCTATCATCCGTACGGGACTTTAAACTGCTTCGCAATGATCCGGCTAGTAATACCTGCGCTGCGCATGCATGTTTTTCTTACGACAAGCCGACGCGGACGCTGTTTCCACCTAGCCTGGATCAACCGTGGTGTTGGTATGATTCGGCAGTGATGCGCTGGTCTTTAAAGAGTGCCTTGGTGGAAATTTGCCTGGGTGACCAGGTTGTGAGAGATATAGTGGACCCGGCCAGAGTGCGAGGACGCAGTTCTTCGTTATACAGTACGGAATCACCAAAATACCTTTGTGACTAGCGAATAGTTAATACCTTTTGATTTTCTTATTACTGTATTTACACAAGTTTAAGAGCCAGAAAAAAGTCCGGGTGCGCGCAGAATACCCGACGGCTTTTTTGAACTTCAAAGAAGCCGCGCGCTATTGTTTACGGCTTCCGCCATTTTGGTGGCTCTTAAACTTGTGTAAATACAGTATCAGATTATTTTTTTAAACGGCAATACACAGTGATACGCAGCTACATGAACTGATCGTGCTGGCTAAATGATACACTGCCATTTTTTGCAGACAGATCTATCTGCTGCCCCGACGACCGGTCAGACGCTGCTGCCCCGACGACCGATCTATTTGCTGCCCCGGTCAGACGTTGAATTACGCTGGGAAGAAAGCACGGGAAAAGCTACTCCTGCGATGGAAGATCGGTGCAGACAACGTTTGTGGTCGGATATGCTGACTGCCGCTAAACTGGAAGCCTCAAAAGAATACGCCGACGTTATTACCTCTGCTCGTCTGCTGGCTGCTTCTATAAGGACGCCAGTGCGTTGTTGTTTGCATTGCCGGTTGCTAGCCTTGGTACACTGCTAGACGACGCTGGTCTACGGATCGCCGTTGCTTTGCGTATGGGGGCAAAGATTTGCAAGGAGCATAAATGTCGCTGTTTGGAAACAGTTGATGCTTTGCGGCTTGCATGGCTTGTCTTGCTTAAAAAGTCAGGGGAGTTTCAGGCGACATACGAGTTTGAATAGCGTGATTCAACGCAGCCTGGGATTAGCAAATTTGCCGACAATTTTGGAGCCTCCTGGCTTAAGTATATCGAATGGAAAGCGGCCAGATGGACTATCACTGTTCCCTTGGAAAAATGGCCAACCCTTGATATGGGATGTGACGGTTTGCGACACAATCGCCATGTCATACGTTGCCGGGTCATCTGTAGCAGCAGGATCGGCGGCAGAAGATGCAGAAAACCGAAAGAGTAGCAACTACGCGGAGCTGACTGATCGTTATTTTTTCCAGCCTGTGGCTTTCGAAACTACAGGGAGTTGCGGCGTTAGCACCCGTCAGTTCATCAGTGAAGTTGGCCGACGTATCACAGAACAAACAGAGTAACCGCAAGCTACCGATTTCTCGTGGCAACGTATTAGTGTAGAAATTCAGCGTGGAAACGCGGCTTCTGTTTTAGGAACTGTCGGCTGTTCTACAGAGCTAAAAGAGTTATTTTACTTGTTAACGTTTCGCGATCTTCGGACCAGAATAGTTGCCGGAAATGGGGTTAATCAACGGAGGTGGTGAAGTGCAGACTGATGTCCGAACTTGGCAACTGAAAGGCCAAGTTCGTCAGTCTACCGCTTATGTAACCGTCCGCGATGAGACACCATAAAGGCGAACTATTCCCTCGAACTTCTAATGTCACATGAAAGTTGAAATGCCATAGGAAGTTCGGTTGCCCCCCTTTTGCGTAGCAACAAGAAAGCCTCCGATCGCACGTTAACGACTGTTATTGCTGAGCAATAACCGTCATTCTAGTTGTTGGAAACCTTTGTCTAAGTGTTAAGTGACACTGCTTGTACAAGTCGAAATTAATAAAATCTTTTAATAAGTTACTCACAGTACAGAGTATAATTACAATATATCTTTAGATACAACAATATGTCAGTATAACTCCTGCGTATCAATTTTATGACTGCATAAAATGCTGATACAGTGACCATGTTTCCGGCAAACTCGACGCATATCAGAACAAACAAACTCGACGCATATCAGAATAATTAATATTCACATTAAATGAGTCGAGCGATACGATCACACATAATGGCAAGTTGCATAATTGTCTGCCAGTTACTCTGTGCTAACTCATCAGTTTACCGAAAACCAGTCTGGAAAAACTGTCTCACTGGGGCAATATTTAACTGGAGTAAAAATATTCATTATGTTGTCTAATTTGCAACGATTTATGCCGGTAACGCATCCATCAAACTAAATATGCAGCTAGAAAGTCATTAAGTTAGCGCACCTACTAGCGTCCTGCCAGATTTTCACGTTCAGAAAAATTACTTCTCTGTCTGAGCCTAATATGCCTCCAGGAGAAAACCATAATATTTCCTCGACTGCGACTATTTAATGCCAGTTGCCGAAACACTTTACCACACCACCTGCTCTACTTTCCTTTACTGCTTGCTTCCCGGTTTCCATCAACTTCTCCGCCATAATAAAGATGATGAAAGCCATCGCCTTCTTCGGTCTTGTCGCTATGGCGGCCGCCCAGCAGCAGTTCGTGTGGGACCTTCTGAAGCCGGCGCTGAACGCGGCGGAAGTGCAGGCGATCCTGGCCAACCGGGAGTCCAACCAGTACCCCAGCTACAACAGCATTCCGCAGACGGGATTCAGCTGTGCAAGCAAGAAACAGCCGGGTTTCTACGCCGACACGGAGGCGCAGTGCCAAGTCTTCCACCGCTGAGACATCAACGGCAACCAGACAAGCTATCTCTGCGTCAACAGCACCGTCTTCAACCAGGTCACCCTCATCTGCGACTACTTCTTCAACGTCGACTGCCAAAAGTAAGCTTGTAATTTATTAATATTTTGAAAATAATTTTTTTTCTCGGAATCGTAAACTGTTTTTGAAACATATTTGGTTACATATTTATTTTAAATAACTTTGTCTAATAAATTAATAAATAATAATAGTAATAAATTTGAGTGCTACTCATGCAACAACTTCGCTTAAACTTCTTTCCTCTTCCGGTGCAGGTTCGCCTCGTACGAGAACTTTGCCAACTCCCGCCTGTACACTGACCAGCCCCTCTTCGACACGCCCCCTGCTGACTACGTCCCACCCGGCGTCGGAGCCCCGCAGATCCTGGCTGCTCAACCCGCTGTTGCTCGTGCCGCCCCGAAGAATGCTGGAGGAAAGAAGGGAATCAAGAAATACTTCTAGGCCTCTTCCACAATTTCAAGAAATTGTCGGACGCCGTTTTCACACCTAATGCCTATCGGCTATTGTGTGTTCATAAAAGAAAACGGTGCAATACCGTTTCTTTATCCACTCTTTGTGCTCAATAGTACGTACATCAAGATAAAAACGTTTTGCGAATACCTTATCGAATGCAAGAACAGTAAGGAAAATACGGAATAACAATCTTGTACGAAGCATTCGAAAATCAAAGATAGTAAGTAATTAAACAAATCAAATAACAAAAATAAGTGAGCATACTGAAACAGCAAATTAAATTATATTCGACAAGCTTTGACAACGATGACAGATTACTTGTCTAAATCGGCACGTAAAAAAAAGTTCACTGAGACATTTTAGGCAGATCGTTATGTAAATCCGCAAGCAGTATGTACTCTGTACGCCGCATCATTTCGCAGCTTATCCAAAACTTTTGTCAAGTTGTCTGTTGGCATTTGGAATGATACTTTCGTCTGAAAGCTTTCTTTGTAGCGCTGAACCAGATGTACTCTCTACTCTGAACAAAGGATAACACGTCGTCTCCTATTACCATATTGATGTATTTATTCAGCCATCCAACGGAAGTTTTGTCACTGCCGCATTTTCAAGGTCCTATATTAATAGGATTACGTGTTAACACAAGCCCGTAATTACTGCAGTATACCGGCACGGTGACTGTTGCAAGGACCAGTAGTTTTGGAAAAGACGGGCCTTTTTCAGCTTTTCGCTTTGATGATCTGTAGTTGCTTGCAGTCTATTGGCTTCTTTGCAGTTTATCTGGTTTAATGCAAAAACTACGGTTTTGATATCCCACTCACTTGTCAGGTGCTCGCCAAAGCAACGTCATCTGTAGATACTGCAAGTTTAAAAGTCACCATGCCGGTGCCGGTGGTATCGTGCCTTCATTCAGCTGCGACTTAAGGTCAGTGTAATAACTAAC